TTCTCGCCCTCCCCTGCGCCCACCTGCCGATCCCGTAGCAGTGAGGAAAGGGCCCATAGAGAGTGCTGAGGAGCTGCAAGGTCTGTGCCACAGTGTTGATCCAACGCTGATCTCCTTCCTGCAGGGACCACGTGGGCCACAGAGATATGGGTCACCCTGACAGACCTGTCTGGAAAGTGACTGACCCTAGAGCCCTGGGGTGGGAAGGCCGGGTTTGGCCAATGCTCGAAAGAGTTCCTTCTGACTGGCCCCGGAGGAAGTCCCATGGACATCGATCAGTAGCATTCAGTCTCCTAATCACTATCACTCATAATAAATTATAGGAGTTGAATGAAGGTCCATCAATATGAAGGCCCACTGGACCCCATGTCTGTCCCTACCTGTCAATGCCAAGACCCAAGGGCCCTGCATTTACCAGGAAGTAGTCCCTGAAGAATTCTGGTAGTTCCATGCTCAGCAGATCCACATCGAGAGGCAGCAAGGAGAAGGCCCACTCGTCACAGCTCACATCTGTGGGTACAGAGAGCGTCAGCCTCCCTGCGGAAGGCACACGGCCCCACATTAAGAGGGAAGGTCCGCCACAGTCCTGCAAAAACATCTGAGTGCCAGCCACATGCCAAGTACTACACTAGGCACGGTCACTCAAAGATGAGGAAGGCATGGCCCATGCCCTAAAGGGGCTCACAGTCTGGTTAACAAAGAGACACAATGGGCACGACAGCCGGTAATACGATGTGATAAGGCGTGTGTTTTCATTCAGTCGCTGGCCAAAGTGCTGAGGAAACATCCGTTCACAATTCCATAAATACTGACTAACAGCCTAGCGCAGGCACTAGGCTAAGCACTGGGACAATGGTGAACAGAATGATGCATGCCTAACCTCCTGGGGACATTTTTACAGTCTAGTGGGACAGATATGCACCAGATTTAATTACAGTCGTGCTCTGAGGAAGTAAAATCTGTGAGCACAAACACTTCAGGGATCTAACCTCAACCAGGCGTGGAGGAGACTTCCCTAAAGAAGTGACATTAGAGTGAGGAATACCCTAGGGAACAGGAACAGTATGTGTGAAGTCCCCACAGCTGGACGGTAGTGAGTCAGGAGGAAGGAGAGGCACATGCTGAGGCAAAGGGGCCAAGGAGGGGACAGACGGAGTCTGGGGTAGGAGGCCATGGTGAGGATTCTTGGCTTTCATCTTGAGCCAGTCGGTGCGGGATTCTCTGCAGGGAGGACTGACCAGGTCGGTGTTGTATGGAGGACGGAGGAAGGAATACACAGGGGCGGGGAGGCTCAACATTTCCTGGGAGTGGGAGTCTTGGAAGGTAAGGCTAGAGCAGGTGGCGACTTCCAGCCATGAGCCCTCACATCCCCTCCACGGCATCCCACTGGTTCCCACGCTCGGGCTCCTCTGCGCCAGCCGGGCCAACAGTAATGAGGCACGGAAAAGGAGACGGGGCGAGGGGTACGTCGATCATTTCCTTCACCTACGCTCTCCCCCTTTCCACTCACATTCATCTCCTCTCACCTCCATAGATCCCCTCTTCCTCAAGCACCATCTCACAGGCGTAAAACTGAAAGAGGAAAGGGGCTGATTAGCAAACACCTCTGCTCTGTTCTTTCCATGCCTCTGCAGTTCCTCCACGGTCGCTGAGGACGACAATCGCTGAACCAGGAGGAGAACCCAGACTTTTCGACCTAGAAAGGACACGGGAATCATCTAGCCCAACACTTGGTTTGGTTCCCCTTTCATCCACTTCATTTATTTATCTATCCCTTGCTTTTCTCTCCAAGGGACTGGAAAAGCTTTGCAAAGGGGAAGGTGCTTCGGCCGTAACGGAGGGGTGAGTCCTGCGGGCAAGGGTGGGAGGAGGGCGTGAGAGCCCTACGGAATGCGGCCGGGAAAGAGCGGTGGTGCGAGAGAAGCGTTCTGGCTCAGGTCTCCACAGGACCCTGGACACGCAGAGGGACCTGGACAGACAGCCTTGGGGGTCAATGGCACACAAGTGGCATTTAAAATGGGTGGTTTGTTCAAGAAAAAAGAACACAGAGGGAGAAGAGAGCTCAGGACAAGATCTTAGGGGACATCAAAATCGGAGGGGTGCACAGTGTGAGACCTGGCAGGGGAGACTGAGAACGAACACGCCAAGCGGCGAGAATAGAGAGCAGACAAAGAGGGGAGAACCGTCTAGAAGGGACACACATGGCTGCGGACAGAAGAGGAAGGGTCTATCTGATGAAAGCAAGAGAGTGGAGAAGGGGTGAGGGGAGGGGGCCGTGGGCAGAGAGAGCCAGCTGCGCTTAGACAGGAAAAGACCAACCTCCTCCTTCGAGACAAGTAGAAAAAGGATGAAATAATTGGAGGTAATAAAAAAGGAAGTTGAAGACACTCCCATCTGACAACGATGGTGACAACAACAGGAAATGTGTGCATGTTAAGCATTTCACAGGACTCAGCATTGTTGTTAGTGTTTTACAAGGATTACCTCTCTTAACCCCTACAACTCTGTGCGGTGTGGAAGATCCATGCTGGGTGCTCCTTATTTTAGTGTTACTCAAAAAAGTCCGATTCATCCCATATTCTATAGGTCTACTTTTAACGCGAACTAATGGAGTTTCAGACCCCAGTTTGAACCCTGCCAATCTTCCTAATTAACAAAGAAAGTCTCAGCAAGAGACACAGATTTCCTCTTCCCCACAGCTACTGAGGGAGAGACCTTCCTGGGATATAAAATTAGGTCAATGAATTTAGTTAGATAGGATGTTAGAGGGAGAAAACTCATATCAATTTTGGTTTTCTGTGTAATATGGAGGTTTGTAGGGTTATACAAAACTGATACTACCTGTTCTATTTAAAGACATCTGTCCTTGAAAGTATAAAAGAAAAAGTTTTGTGAGACTCTAAAAATGAGAAATTATTACCATAGCTCCTTCAATAACATTCAAAAGTAACGTGTAATTCTGACTGATTGCCTTTGCAGTAATTTCTTGCCCTGGTGATGCTACGCTTGATATATTTGTATTCCTAAACAAGAGAGCTGTCAGACTGTGTTACCAATCTCCGAATGATCTTCAAAGGAAGATCCCTGGCTCCACTTATTCCTTTTACGATAATGAGAAAAACATTATAAGCCTATGATTCTACTTGATTTCTTAACAGAAACTAAAAGTCGTCTCATTTAAATTAAAAGAGATAAGTACCATTATCAACTCCATTTTATATATGAGAAAACTGAGACACAGAGCAGTTAAGTAACTTATCCAAGATCACACAGGTCATAAGTACTGAAGCAAGGATTCACACTTTGGCTTCAGTATCTTTAGTCTTCTATTTTCTTGGAAAAATTGAAAAGGGATAAACCCCTGTCCTTTCAATTTTAATTTCTACCTGCTCCAGGTGTGGCATGCACTGCCTGACACAGCTTATAGGCATACAGTGGGCAGTGTGAAAACCTGGTCCATCATTGCTTCCCATCGGTGAGACTGAGTTGCACCTATGACACGCCTCGCCAGTGTGGGGGTCGAGAGAAGCTTGATGGGATCAAGAAACGGAGCGACTAAGATAGGTCAGCACAGATGGAAGGGGCCTAGCCTGGCTCTGCTAACTCACTGTGACCGTGGGCTTCAGTTCCCTCGGCTGTTCAAGCAGGGTGGAGTAAAATGGTCTCTGAGGGTCCTTTCCTGTGTAAGAAAAGGCTGGCCATGGGGGGCGATGATTTATTGTATTTATTACTAAAAGGCTATAAGGAGAAAATCACTGAAAAGACCATTGTTAGGGAGGAATTTGTGTTAGAAGAGAACATAGCAGGTTCTACTTAAAAAGTGTCAATCTTTTTATTTTACAAAAATCTACCTAGAGGCCACCTCTCATAGTTCCGCAATCCGTATTTGGGGAAATCTGATGACAGTCCTTCTGCTAAACTATCAGGTCTATGTTAATGAGACAGTGACAGGTCTGTGTTCAGTCACACGTAATTTGCTTTGAGGGAGATAGAGCTGCTGGCCCCTGGCCCCTTCCCAGTCCTCGATCCTGCTCTACCTTATCCCACTCCCACCAGGAGCCACACTCACCTTCTGAGGGCTGAAGATCACTTTGTATTTTCGAGTTCGGCCGGCCAGCTTGTCAGCATTGACAAGATCTACAGACAGAAGGAATGCAACCCCGAGAGCCATGGGCCACTTGTTAGATGAGAAGGAAGCAGATATCTTCTCTACGAGGGGTGTGGCCAAGGCCCTTAGACCTTGCCCGCCCTTCCCCAGGTCTTAGTGACACGGTGCACCAAGGCATACTCACTGGCAATGTACCGCATGTTCTTGATGCGGGGTCTGACCAAGAAGCACAGTCTGTGGGAGAGAAGGGGGAAAAAAGCCAATGAAGAAAAATCACGAAGAAGTTGGTGATAGCAACTTAGAAGAAACTCAAATAATGCCAACTCTTTCGCCATTGGCTCTTCTTGACGGGCCTACAGTTCCCATCACAGCCACAGCCGGGCCAGCTCTCTCAGCCTTCCACGTACTAACCACAGAAGATTCCTCTTAACACAACAGATAAACTGTGGTGAGCCGGGAACACTTACTGGCCCTTCTGGGGGCCCAGGAGTTCCTGCTCTCAAATAATTAATTAACTATTAGGCAAAATAAGAAGCACATATGTATGGAACATCCTATCAATCGAGTGTTAAAAACAATACAAGAAAGTACATAAATGTTTTTCGAATGGGGGTTTGTGAATGTATTCTCCGGAAATCCAGGAGAATTTTCTCCTCTAAGGGAGAGTATATATTACTTAAGGTAGAAAATATATTACAAATAAAAACGAAGCTAAACAGCAGGCATTAGGTGATTGTGTGCGAAGTGGAAACGACCAATGCTAAAGAGCCTGGAAGTCCGGGGGAGGAGAAAATCGCCCTGGACTGGAGGAGAAGCAGAGAGCTGCACAGAGGAGGTTGGGCTGCACCTTGAAGACTGGGTAAATTTTAGGAGCAGTGAGGATGGGAGAGAGTTTCAGGCAGAGCGAATGGAGTGATCCAAAGGACGAAGGCACGTGCACGCAGCTGGGAAGCATGTGAAAATGTGTGTCAAGGAGTGGCTTGAGGGGACACGTAAGCCATCAGGCAGGAGAGGCAATGTGAGGCCTCCCTGGACATGGCCTTGGATTCTATGATGAGTAATGTGGACTTTACTGGGTAAGTAAGGGAACGCTTAAAGGTTCTTGAGAAGAGCACAGCGAAAATATTTGTGAAAGCTTCATCGATCTGGTTAGAGATGGCAGACTTGGTTCCAGAAAGAAGAGGACAAGAGAGGGAGGAACTGCAGAAAGGGAGACCCATTAGGAGGCTAAAGCATAACCTAGGCATGAAACTGTGACAGTGCAGGGAGGGAACCATATCACAAACATGATGGTGCCAGATCACAGCCAAGGACGGGAGAGGGCAAATGTGCAGGGACCTCCCCCAGCTTAGAGCCGAGCCGGATTCTCCCAGACACTTACTGTTCACTGGAGCTGAGGGCTGGCTTGTTCTCCATCTTGTACAGCTTGTCTACTTCATGTTGCTGCCGAGAGAACCAACAAGACAAGTGACACGGAAACTCAAAGCATAATGCCAAGACAAGGGACTTCTGGAAGGGCTCTTATTTATGCTAATTCTTGGAATCAGACTGCCTCCCTGATGACCATCCCACTGAACTTTCCTCAGACTGTAGACAGGAAATCCAAAAATAAAGCAATTCAATAACGATAGACAATAGTATTGATCCTCTTTAGTGCACCCAATTCAGCTACCTACTATTTACCTCATAAGGGTCGTCACTCCTTAGTAATTTGTATTGTTCATCAAAAGAAAAATGGCTTAATGAGAGAAGGAAAGCCTGAGTCCACCTGGGAAAAGGGGCAGGTACCTTTAGTATGGAGACATTGGCGATTCGATCCAAAGGGCTCATGAGATCTGCCTCAATGAACAAGTCCTTTTTTCCTGGAAGCTGAAGAAGACACAGTATCTTGGGTCATTCATAGGTCACACAAGCTCCCTCGGCTGAGAGCTCATGCAGCCATCTGCTTAACAGAAGCACAGTCTGAGTTGGAAGGACGCTAGACATCATCTACCCAAGCACCTCTTCACTGGCAATATATGCACAGCTGACATTTGTCTATATATTCGCCTCTGCACCATTTCCTCCACTCTGCCCCCCAAAAACCCCGGTTGCCTGCTGGACAAAGCCAAACAAAACAAAACTCCACCTTGCATCCCACAACTGCCAAGTCTCTTTTAAGTAGCATTTTTCTTCTAATTACGAAAATTACCTATGTTCAACGTAGAAAACTTAGCCCGAGACAGTCCTCACCGTATCACCCACCCACTCACCCACCCAGGGGAAGGAGAGGTCACACTGAGTGGCAGGGAGAAGGAAGTCATTGCAAGTTTCCTCTGAACTAGGACTTGAAAAGTGGGGAGGGTGTCGTCAGTGATATTGGAAAAGAACAATTGGAAAGAGAACAGGCTGACTGGGAAGAACAGAACAAGCAATTCGGTCTGGCTGATGCTGAAGATATAGTGCATAGTGGTTCTCAGCCAGGGATGGTTTTGCCTCACAGAGGACACCTGGCAATGTCTGGAGACATTTTCAGTGGTCCAGTTGGGGCATGGGGTGTTACTGGCATCTAGTGGGTAGACGTTAGGGATGCTGCTAAAGATACTACAGTACATAGGACGGCCTCACAACTAAGAACTAACCAGCCCAAAACGTCAATAGCACCAAGGTTGAGAAATCTTGATGTTGAGGAATGGTGGAAAATAAGACTGAAACTGTTGACTAGAACTAGATCATGAAGGGCTGGCTCCAAATGCCAGGTTAGAGTTTGGAGTTGATCCTCTATGGAACAGGGAAAAACAGAAAGCTTTTGTGCACTGAAACATCCTATCAACTGGGAATTTCAGTTAGACGAATCTGGGTACTGTGGGTAAAATGGATTGGAAACATAAGAAACTGGAGGCAAGGAGTCCACCTATGTGGCTAATGCAATGGTCCTAGCGGTCCAGGCTATGTGGTAATGAAGGAGGACCTGATTTATTTAGGCTGATGGTTGTGTGAATGAAATGGGTCAAGAGATACATGGAATGTGCAATAGAATTTTTTAAATACTTGAGAGTAAAAGTGTTAACTAACAGTGCTTATATATGATGATAAAATTATAAATGACTTTTTTCCTTTACACTTTTCTTTATCGTCTATATTTTCTATAATGCACAAGTGTTACTTTATAATCACTATTTAAAAGGTCAGGTGTAAGGAAATATCCACAGGACTCATCGAGTAGTTCAGTTAAGTATGAAGGGGGAAAGAGAGTCAAAGACAAGTCTGAGGTTTCAAGCCTGAATAGCAGTGCCCGTTAACAAGAATTAAGACAGAAGTTAGTTTGAAGAGGATATTATTGCACAGAAATCCACTTGGGCTATGTTGAGTTACCCTCGTGGGTAGCTCATCCCCACCTACACTCCATTTACAAGTGTCTCTCCTTGGTCTCATTTACTCTCTTTCATGTGGCTCTCACCTGAGCCAGTGGCTTTAACTAGCATCTCTTCGCTTTCTCAGACATTCGTTGAATGTCTTTTATGTGCAGATCTTTGTGCTAGCACTACAGGGCGCATAAAACAGAAATAAAACATGGTCCTCAATCCCCTGAGGTTCTCCCCAAGTCCTCATCTTTATGCCAGCTGCAACTCTACATTTCTATCTGTTGGATGTTACAAGCAGTATTTCCTACCAGCATCTATTCTAACTTCACTCTATCCAAACCCAAACCCAAACTAATCGACTTTGTCCACCAAACTTATACTTCTAATTCCTTTTTTCATTTCCATTCAATATTATGCAACAAATATTTATTAAGCACATGCTATGTGCCTGACTCTAAGCTAGGTACTCACTGGGTATACAGTGTTAAAACAGACACACTCCCTGTCGAGGACTTTCCAATCTAGTGGGGAAGAAGGACATAAAACAAATCACTATACATGTAGTCAATTACAATCATAGCAGCAGCATTACTTTATTACTAACCCAAGTCAAAATTCTCAAACTCAGCTTTGCTGTTCCCTCAACCTTTAAAAGCAATCGACAAGTCTTTGGGTCTTCTTTCACCATGATTTAAAAATATATAACTTCCTTCCATTCCCTCCAGTGCCACTAATTTTATGTGGGCCTTTACTATTTCAGTCTATGGTTTCCTAACTGGCCTTCTTGTTGCCCCTTTACCCACCACCACGTGGCTAGGAGAATCATCTTCAAGTATTGCTTCACGCCACGAATGGGGAAAAATTCTTCAGTCGCTGCCTATTGTGTAACTTCTGATCACTCTCTTCCCTGTACATGCCTCATCCTTCCCTGGTTCCTCACCTTGCTCCTCCTACCAGTCCATCTGCCTGGAACATAGTCTCCCATCTCCAAGGAAAACACGCTGACTCTTCACACTCCAGCGCCTTGAAACTCCTAGATCACTCCAGCTAGAAATTATTGCTGATCCTGAATGCTTCAGGCACCCTAGCCCACTCATATACCACACGATATCCTGGGGGTGGTAATTTGCGTTTCATACAGCTCCTACTGGCGTGTAAGATCCCTAATGACCAAGATGTCTTAACCTACTTTCCTTCCCTCAGTGACTAGCAGTGTCTTCCTTGCCAGTAAGGAAAAAAAGAAGTGTTTTCCATGAACTCCCTGGCCAGGTTCCAGGCAGCTCTTACTGCCCTCTGGTTTACTTCACTGAGTGCTTCATTTTGGACTTGCTACAGAAGCGCCAAGGACAATACCAAGGGCCAAGAACAAGGTCAAGGGAACGCGACAAGGAAGACCGATGCGTCCAGTGAGTGTTAAACCGCTGATGTGGTGAAGGCCTCAGACGTGGCGGGCACTGACCTGCTCCAGCAGATAGATGAGCTGGTCTCGGGCCAGCCTCTTGAGCAAGGAGAAGTCTGGCAGCTCTGGGGCGTCCGGCCGATGGGGAAAAGCCATGGCAGCGGTCACCGGAGCCGCGGGGTGGGAGAAGACGGCCGCCCTCCGATCCGCGAAGGCTCGTGGCTCTCCTTCAGGCCTGGGCACAGACTTCGAAAGATCCCCGGAAGGGGCCCTCACTCTTCAGCTGCGCTAGAGGAATGAATGGCCACCTCCCAGCCCGACAGCGGCAGCCTCGGGGGACCTTTGTCTCAGCCACTGTGTCCCGACCCGGCCCTCTCTGCTCCACTCTGCCCGTGAGCAGGTTTCTGATCTACACTCGCAGACTTCACGGCTGCAAGGAGCACCCCGCCTACTGACAGGAGAAGCGGCTTCCTGGACCTCCCGGAAGTCCCATTCGCAGCGCCGGTGCTTGGCGCACTGGGAAGGGGACGGCGTCCTGGAAGGGACATTTCAAAACGGGCGTGAACGCGTCGACGTTCCAGTCTGATTTCTGGCTAGAGGGGAGTATTTCTGTGCTAAAACTAATTTTTAAGGGCACACCCAATTCTCCTAGCTCACTCAAGAGAAGGTTGTGCAATTGTTCGATTTTCAGAACTTCGTACAATGGGCGAAACCAACCGAAGCCTTAAAAGCGCTCACTCAAGAGAAGGTTGTGCAATTGTTCGATTTTAAGAACTTCGTACAACTGAAGCCTGAAAAGCACTGGTCATTGGGGACCTTGGCTGTCAGTCAAACCTACTTCTCAAACGGCGGCGTGGAACACGATCTCCTGCTGCGGAGCTGCAGGAGAGCCGCGTAGAGATTGGGGGAGAGGTGAGGGCATGTAAGGATCCAGCGCGAGCTAAGTCTCTCAGGCTGTGACCTTCGGATAGCAGAGTTTTGATTCATTAATGCCCTAATTTTCGTGGGAAAATGGATAAACTGTGGCATATCTATACAATAAAAACCGAATAAATGAAAGAAGCTGGACACGAGAGCAGCATCTGTATGTCATTTATATAAGGTTCTAGAACAGGAAAAACTGTTGAAAAAATTTTCAGAAAAGTGATTGATTGCCTTGGGAGATGAGAATTGACTGGGAGGAGAAACTAGGAAATTTTATGGGTGATGGTCATGATCTATATCTACCTGTTTAGATGGGAAAACAGCTTATGAGATCCATTATAAGAGATAGGACCAGATGACAATAACCTGAACTCACTAATCAACAGGTAACATCTCTTGGTGAGATGCTTAGGAAGTACAGAGCATCTGTTGCCAAAATTTTCACCTGAGCAAGCCTCAAGATCTAACTGCCCGTTCACAGGTAATACAGAGGGTAGTGGAAACATGTTAAAAGACATTAGGATGAAATCAACCACATCCATAAAGCAGGAAATCACATGAGACAAATAACCAAATAACCAATCAAATGGTGAGGGGAATAAAGTGGAAGGGGAAACCACTTTAGAATAAGAAACTTCTGGAACACATCAACACGATGTTGCAGTGTGTGGATTTTGTTTGGATCCTAAGAAATCAACCATAAAAGCCATTTATGAAACAATTAGAACTCCATCAGGATATTAGCTGATATTAAGAGATTATTAAAAATTTTAAGGCACAGTAATGGCTCGTGTACCTATATTAAGTTCTTAGCTCTTTGAGATACATACTGAAGTACTTACAGAAGCAATATGATGTCTGGAAGTTGCTTTAAAATAAGCCAAATGAAAATGAAGCGCCAAGTGCTGGATAATAAAAAAGATTGGCCATTTGTTAAATGTTCAGGCTGGGTGATGGGCACACAGGGGTTCATTACTTTACAATATTCTCCCTATTTTCACGTTTGAAAAAATTCTATAAGATTAAGCAAACGACTTCTGTGCTCACACTGGGCTTCCAGAGCTCATCTAGTATTTTATATTAGCTTTCTCCGTATCACCTCCCCAGATTAAATCTCAGCTAGAGAGAGAGAGGCTTCTCTGAGTAGATGAGTGGCACATATACCACTCCAGGGCACAAGGACTTAAACGTTCCTACTGTTGTCCAGTTTGCCAGCCTCTTGAGTTTGGCCACAAGGTTGCTGTGAGGTGTCTGTTCCACCCAGTCACTCTCCAGCTCAGGCAGAGCCTTGTCATCTGTTGCTTCCTTCACTAGACACTGCACCTGTGTCCCAGTGGGTTAGAATCTGAGACATAGTGCCTGGTTGGAGCATTAACAGATCAATCTGGACATTTAGGGCTTCTTGTTGGATGAGGTCTGGATGGACAGGCTGGCAAAGGTAGAAGGCAGGACTTCCTGCCATTGTGGACTGGTTGACTGGTATAAGCTTCTCCAACCATTTCTTCATTCACTCAACCAATACTGAATTTTATGTTGGGAGCTGGAACTGCAGCAATAAACGCAGACATGTCTCCTGCCCTCATAGGGTCTAGATTCTAATGAGGGCAAGGTGGGTGATACAGACAATACAGTAGTAATAGTTTTCAAATAATGGGGAAAATTAAACAGCGTAGGTGACAATGTGAACATGAGGGAGCTGCTTTAGATCCAGTGATTAAGGAAGGCCTAAGAAAGTAACATTTGACTGAGACCTGAACGAAAAAGAGCCGGCCATGAGAAAATCTGGGGACAAAGAACCAATAGATACAAAAGCCTTAGACTGATATTTGCAAGAGTGGAAAGATTTAAGCTTAGTGAACACTAGTAGGGGCAAATGGAACAGCTTGTAGTTTTCCATAGCCCACTGGGGAAAGGGCATGATCAAACGACTTGCAAGTTAGAAACGTAAATTTAAAGAGTTAAACAGCATCTGGCACCTCTTAGACTAAAAGGTACTAATGGCAAATTACCTTTTAAAAATCATAAAAATATTGATAAGCTTTCATTGTAAATTACATGATAGTGACAGACCAGCGAGAACAAGGGCCTTTCTGCCGACTGCTGTATTAACAGGATTTGGATTTCCTAACTTTGACTGGCATGTAATAGGGTCTTGCCATTTATATTGAACAAATGCTCAAGTTAACAGTAATCAACAGTAATTGCTATTAATGACATTTGAAATGGCAAAAAGATTTTACAGATTGTCAATGAAGGGTGGAATATCAGTGTTTTAATTAAACATCCTTCACATATTTAAATTCTGAATAACTAATTTTTGCTGGTAAATTGTTAAAATGAGACATGGTCGAAAACTGTCACTGGACTGTTTACTTGCATATGTCTCATTCTTTGTCTACTGATAATCACTGTCTTGTTATAACAAAGCATCAGTAACTTAACAGAAATTATGCCAGGCAATGTTAGATTCCCAGAATTTTAGAAGCCTTGGATTAAAGATCAGACTTGGGTTTAAGTGCCAGTGTTGCCACTTACTAGCAGTCATGTGGCCTTGGGGCATATCCAAAATCCTTTGAGACGGTCACATTTGTAAAAAGGGCCTATTGTCTGCTGCCTACATGACAACACCCTTATAAAGATTTGGTGAAAACTATAATAGAAGATACTATTTAAGCTTTTGATAGGGGCTAGAAATTATGTTGAGAGCCCTAAAGGCTTTGCTTGCTTTGGATTTTTTAAAAATCGAATTCCCACAATCCAGTCACTTTCAGAACCCTAACAATTAAAAGATAACCAGTTTTTAGCTGTCAAAATCCAACACCGAGCAGGGTGACCTGCACAGAGCACTTTGTTGGGGATTCCTCTGGCCCACCTCTCTCACAATGTTCAATAACAAGCAACTTTTTGCCTCTTCCTTTCCCTCCAGGTTCACAGGTAAACCCTCTGACCCCACAGAGCACCAATCAACAGACTGCTACATTTCACTTTATTTTGCACATAATGAAAACCTATTGCCTAAGCAGTTCCAGAACTTGCTACATTTCACTTTATTTTGCACATAATGAAAACAACCTATTGCCTAAGCAGTTCCAGAACTGTTAGTGTTCACTGATCAAGAAATAAATGAGGTCAAAAGGCAAACCTTTCATTTCTTCCCAAACATATATTGCAAGTATCACAGAAACTCCCAATAATACATGCAGCGCAGGCTGGTTTTGACAGAGAGCCTAAACAAGAAGGGTGAGTACTGAAGGTCCACGTGCATCAGACGAGGAACAGTGCTCCAGGAAGCTGGATTCTACCCAGCCAGTCATTCTCGCCGTCCCCATTCACATCTGCCCTGTGAAATTCATTGCCCTTTGTCAGATTCAATCCAAGTAGCTCTTTCCTCCCACTTTATAGACTCATCATGTCCTCCTATTTCAGGGTGGATAATCAGTACACAGAAATCCAGGCAGTTCAAATATACTCGCCCAGCTCCGGTTCAAATTCTGTAAAGGAAGTTCCCATTGTCATCAAAGAACTCTCGTCCCTTCTGCACTACTTTGCTGCTAAAGTTCTGGTCACCAGGTTCTCCTGCCTTCAACGCTTCCAGCTTCTTCTCACTTGGCAATCCATCAATGTCAGTTTTTCTGGTGCCGCAACAATCACTGGTGTACTTCTGCACTTCTCTCTGAGGACCTAGGGCTGCAGAGACAGGCACAGGGCTCTCCTTCTCCAGGCTCTGGATTCCTTTATTCCTTCCCTTCTGTCTCCTCGGTGTGTTTATACTGTGAGTATTCGGTTCTATTACCTTCAAAGCTGTGCTGTGACCCTGGCCTTGGGATGAGGCTTCACCCCCTGGCATTAGCAAAGAGCCCGAAAGGGAGCGGCCTGCAGAAGGTAACTTCCAGGTATCCCGAGAGCCAGGAAGCTGCCGGAGCGGGTGAGCAAGCTCAGCTTTCTTAAGGACTTTTTGATCCTGCTTCAGTTTCTGTTCCAATGTGGGTACAAACTTGCTTTTTAAAATCCTTCTAATCACATCGGTGCTGACATCAAAACCTTCAGCCAATCTTGGAACTGACCAGCACTCTGCAAATTCCTTATGTAAATACCTATAGGAAAATGGAGCAATTTTTCAAGTTGTGAAGAAGACTCCTATCAGAATAGCTAACTGATAATACTAGGGATAAAAATGCCGAGATGAGGAGGTGTAAATGCCATCTCTCTCTCTTCTCTCATTAAATGGCTGTGTTCCACTCCTGTGTGGCGACAGCATGCTCTTAGGTCATTGGCACAATGGCCCTGGTTGGATCCTGGAGAATGCATGAAGACTGTCCTTCCTTCGAAGAGCGTACAATCCAGGGGTAGAGACAGATATAGCAACATATGACAACACTGTGAACACTGTCATGGCAAAGGATGCTGTTGAGAGCATCCAGGAGGGAGACCCAGGGACAGGCTGTCACAACACTTGCAGCATGGCCCAGGAACTGCTTCAGAGTTCACAGTAGTGGCAAGACTAGAGGTGGAAAGATCGAGCAACAGGCTATCACAATAATCCAGGCAGTATGGACTGAGGCAGTTGCAATAAGAGCAAGAGGAAAGAAACTTGAGAAATATTTTAGGAAGGCCAAGCGGTAGAATTTGGTAAGGGACTAAATACTGCGGAAGGAAGCAGGCTGAAATTCAGAATTGTAGCTTGGGTGATTGGTGGGGCCATTCGGGGTTACAGCAAAAATAGGAGAATTGAGTAGTCAGGGAACAATGATGAACTCTTGTTTTGTACACATCGAGTATGAGAACCTGTATGACATCCAAACAGAAATGTCTAGTGCACAGTTGAATATACAGAGCTCAGAAGAAAAACATGGACTGAAGATGAAAGATATGGAAGTCATAAGCCAACAGCAAGGGTAGTTGAATCCATGTGACTAGCTGGCATCAGGCAGGGAAATATGCAGAGTGAGATAAAATGATCAAGAACACAACTCTGAAAAAACAGCAATCTTTATGATACATACAAGAGGAAGAAGGGGAACCCAAGAAGGAAAAAGCAGCCTTAGAAAATAGAAGTGAATGACATCTGGGACAAGAGAGAAGAGAATTTCAAGAAAGCAGACTACAAGGTCAAATGCTATAGAAATGTTAAGAATGTCCTTTATGCCTAGCATTGAGGAAGTCGGTGACAGATTCGTAGAGAACCATTTCATAGACACCCACCCCGCCCCCGCGCCCCCCACCCGAAAAAACAAAAACAAAACAAAAGCAAAGGCAGGCAGTCAGGGAGCCAGCTGGGAACAAAATGATGAGGGCGAACCTTACGTTGACAGATGTAGGTCCCTGAGGTTAGGCAGGGATACCCCATAGAGGGTTGGTCCTAGACAAGAGAAGGGTTACCATTTCCCGAGAAGTAAATAGGATATAAGATTGAGAATGGAAAACAGGAAGGAAACCCGAGACGCTTTAAAGGCTCTTGCTTAGTGGCCATCTTCTTTGCAGTAAAAGGACATTTATTGACCACAAAAGGGAGGTGGCAGGTAGGAAGACCTGAAAATGCTTTTGTTCAAGACGGGAGGAAGCTGACATGAGAGAGGTGTTACTGGCTAAGTCTTTTTGGTCAGCTCTACAGAATGCTCTTCATTCTAAGTCTCAATTTCAGGGTGATTCGGATGGGAATGGAAAATAGCCTATAGAAAGTTTTTTTTAGCATTATGAAAATGCAAATCCATCTGCCCTTGGACCCAGCAACACTACTCTGGAAATGTATAAAACAACTACGCCTGGCAGATATGATGTGTATATGAAATTATTCACTAGAGCACTAATTGTGATAGCAAGTTAGTGGACCCAAGTACCCATCATAAAAAACTGGTTAACTATGATTTACTATGTTTACTGTAAAAAAGAATGAAGGGCTTTCTCTTCTGAAGTGAAAGATCTATAAAATATATTAAGTAAAAAAAGTATAAACAGTACTTATAGCATCTACTGTTTGTGATTAAGGAGTTGAAAATAAAAACCGATATTTATAACTGCTTGTACTTGCATAAGGAAACCCAGAAAAAGGCACAAAAAAACTATTAAAAATAGCATCCACAGGAGACTGGCTGGGGTTAATACTTCTCAATGTGTACAGCACATCGTACTGTTCTACTTTTGAACTACACACAATGTAATCGATTAAAAACAAAAAATTTTAAAAAAGATTTAAGATTTTCTAAGATATGGATCCTCGCCTCATAACCATGGAGGTTCCCATCCCGGACCTTAGGTTAATGACGGTATGATTTACTATTTAGAGATTAAATGTTGTGACGTCTTCAAGTCTAAAATTTCTGCAAAATGAACCAACTGTGTCATGTTAAACAAGATAACGGACTTGCAGAAGGTCGTTATACTGCTTTTTAAAAAGACATCTTAAATGATGAAAAGTAAAAGAAAACATAAAAACGATACTCCAGGCCTCAGTATCCTTCACTTCTCATCACAGCGGATCCAAACTACCATGATTCTTACCGGATCTGCTCCATGGCTTCCCAAGTCAGGGTCCTGGGCGGGGCACCTGGCGCCTCCATTTGCCTCCTAATTTTCTGGAACCGTATGGCCTTTTTCTGTCGTTTCAGGATGCTGGGGGAAGAGAACCAATGGCAGAAGCCATGCGTGGCAGCAAGACGAGTGGCTGAAGAGTCTCGGGCTAAATAACGGAGCACCCAGCCTGCTTTTTTCAGCGCCCCAGAAATCTCTAACACCTAGACCAGGAGCCCTTAAACATGCCGAACTCTCTAAAAGGGTGATGAAATACGTCACTGGTGAAAGGACCCGTGGTCCCAAGGGAGCTGAACACCTGCCCCTGCGCCTCTGACACGTGGGAGAAACAAGGGCCGCGGCGACCGCGGCGGCAGGACGCCCGGAGCCAAGGGGGCGCGGCCTGGAGCGCCTTGCTTCAGGCTGAGGGCTCGGAAAGAAGCCGGTACCTCTCCACCTCCTGCAGCTCCCGCTCCTCCGGCTCCCAGTCGGAATCAGGGTCCGGCTCGCGGCCGATGGTGCCTGGACCTGCTACCCCTCGGGTCGCGAGCCCACAGCGAGCGACGGCAGCACGGACACGCCCGCCCAGTAAGAGGCCTAGAGTACCCGCCATGTTGACAAAACTGCCCTCGGCCTGAAATGCAGCGACGCCGGAAGCCGGAGGGCGGGACCAGAAGTGAGAGAAGCAAGCAGCTCGCGCATTACTTCCGCTTCCGGTCAGAGGTTGGGGATATCTGGCCTTGAATGGCTTCGCGGCTCGACTTCCCTGCCGTAACTATGGAAGAGGGCCTCCCTGACACGCGAAGAGCCCGAATGAGGTGGAGGACGCTCCAGCAAAACGGCATAAACTTTAATAAAAAGACGGGTTCAACTGCCAAGAGCCTCCCCTCCGCCTGCCCAGGCCGACTTGTCTCCACTGCGCCGGGGCGAGCGCCCCTCGACAGCCCCTACTTTGGGCACAATCGGCTCCTCTGGGAAGGGGGTTCCTTGTCCCCGAGATGACCTCCAGCCCCGGGCCACACCCAGGGTTTAGACCCATCGCCGAGCGATAAATCCAGGCTCTGGTTTCAAGGGCGGAGATGAGTACATGGCTGGCCTTGGCTCCTCTTCATATTTTAGTCTTTAACGATCCGAAAATAATGAGGGTACTGAGGAATTCTTGGTGTCTTTCTATTTGTGCCTTATGCAAACGGCGCTGGCCAGGGCTTTTCAAACTCAAGCTTGGTGGTAGTCTTTCATTTAGCAAAGATTGAAGGCCCTTTGCCCCTTAGGAAAGCTGAGGGGGTTCTCCAGGAGAGGCTGAGTGCTGGGCTTCCTTCCTCCATTTACCTGTGGTGGCTGATGTCCAGGAGCGCAGCGGTACTCTGCATCAGGGGTGCTGATGCAGGGCAGAGGAGATCCCCGGCTTTGGCTGCTCTGTGTCCAAAGTTTACCATGGAGGGCAAGGTGCATTCAGTCCATGGGCCACTTACCACTCTTTCTGGTTGCAGAAAATAGCCCTGCTTTGGAATTAAAGAGGGTGGCACTGATCCTGCCAGGGTTCGGTTTATGGCTTCTAGCCTTCTGCTGGCTTGGCCTTCTGCAGTGGAAACATGGGTCCCCCTGAGTTGCTACTTACAGAATATAGATTCGCTCACCTCTTTCCCAACTGTTGCTCAATTACCGACACAGGAATGGCATCCTAGGGCTTCCCTCCAGTGCCTTTACCAGACCATATTATAACTGGTATGTTGACTTGTTCATTTCCCTGTTATGTTTGTTGAGTTGCTGGGACGCATTTCTGCCATTTCTATCACCAAGTCTAATACATAAAAGGAGGTAGATAAACGAGTCCACTGCCTTCCCCATTCCCACACTGCTGTAAGTGCCAATATGATATTTGGGAGCATCCCAGCTGTGATATCTGCTAGTGGAAATGTACACAAATCAGAGTGACCAAAGCTAGTTTTGGATACTTACGGCTAGTGAGCCTGACTCTGGCACTGGGAAAATAGCGCCTTCCAGATTTCTTCATTGATAATGAACAGGGGCCGAAGGCGGCTGGATTTCTTATCCAGTTGAGGTTCCTGGGCTGTAGGTGGCACTGGGAATGATGCAGAAGTGCAGCATTCGTGCTTGGCAGTGGCCCTAAGATCCTGGGGATCAATTCCTGCGGCCCAACTGGATGCAGGAAATGAGGAGGGCCCTGCTCTTTGGCGGCCCCTCTCAGGAGGACCAATGGGAACAGACTCACAGACTGCAGTTCTTGACTGCCCAGCCCGTCCTGGTGAAATCTAGGCTAGAGGAGAAGAGCAGCCCCTTATCACATTTCCTGTGAGCCTGGACGGAGCGGTGAAAGAGGCAGCTAAAAAATCTCTTCTAGGCTGCAGCCACTATTTACCAGTTACTCCTTTGGGGCTCAACAAAAACAGGACCCAACAGGTTTGCTACTAGCCCAGGGAACAGTGAATGCAGCAGCTGTTTCATTGGCCCAAGACTGTTTACTTATCTCTCATTAGAGCCACGGCACTGGCAGTGCTGGGGAGAGATTACACAGAAGGGACTGAGGGTGGTGGCCTTGTTATTTGTCAGTCATGAGTCTGGGGTTATTGCAAGATAAGAACATAGAGAACAAGTCTCTTATAAGTGAGAAGATTGGAAGCTGCACTCGGCTGGATGTCATTACTAAAAAACAAGGGAGCTTGGGAACAGACACAAAAGGAACCAACAGACCCTTCCCCAAGGCCCATCATTCACTGCTTTCCCAGGCTCCACTGCCAGATACCATCACATTAGCCTCCTGTGCTGCAGCTGCCACCATGTGCTGGCATAGCCCTTGTTCCCTTGTTCTGTGAGATGCTGCATAGGGACCCTCACCCTATATTCATGATGTTTTTTCTGGCCCCGGCGGCTGGGGTGCAGCATGCGGGTGATTTGCTCTACAATACCCAGGCTTCGGATGAGATTCTCCCTTTGTAGAAGGGCCTTCATCCGTTCCAGCTCCTCCTCTTCCACAATTTCTTGAGGCTGCATGCTGTCCAGATGTCCTGGTAGCAGCTACAAGGTACATGAGAGATGCATGCAGGATCTCCAAGGATAAGTCCCAAACCATCAACAAGGTCAGCTGCCCACGCTACCTCCATCCTATCCCTGACCCTGGTGGAAGGTTCCCTTTGCTATCCATTCTCACACCTCCTGCCCCAAAAGGTCAGAATCAATTACTCATTAGGAACTCGTCTCTCTTGTATCTCTTGAAAGAGAGGAGGAGGGGACGGCAGAGATTCCCTTCTCTAGTCATTCCAACCCATTTTCCTACAGAAAAGAAAGAGCCACAAAACCTCCGACTCTTCTTTCTCCCGATTCCGGTTCCTGTAAGCCAAGTGGGTGGAAAAGTCCCGGATCCTGACCCTGGGTCGGCTCTTCTCCTCTGCTGATTCCCCCTGGTTCTGCTCCTTGTTTTCCTTTCGCCTCTTGGTGCTTGAGGTCTCCTGTTGTTCCTGCTTAAGGCGGATCTCTTCCAGTTGCTGCCTGACGAGATACAGCAGCTTCAGACACTGGAGACATTGTGTTCAGAAGAGGGGGATGAGGGAGAATGGGGATGGCGAAGAGTAGGAATTTATGTCTGTTTTGGGGACTGATGGGAGAGGAATGTGGGGGAAGATGGGAAACCCATTAAACTGAGTCATTAAGAGCCTGATAGAATTTAGAACTCCACTCCTCTTTTCTCAAGGGTCTGGCTTCCTCTCCACCCTGCTGGGCAGCAACTGAGCTTCAGGATCTGCCCCCACCACAGCCAGTGGAGAGAACTGGGGCAAAGTACCTGGCGCACTCCTCCCTGGCCTTGGAGGCGGCAGTCTCCTGGAAGAGGGAGCCGTTGTTCTTGAAGAAGGGCGCGTACTTCTCCGTGTCAGGCCCCGGGTAGATCCTCCGGTACCCACCCAGGTGAGAATCCTCATAGCGTTCCTGGTCCAGCAGGGCTGCATGGGATGACTCAGTTTGTTCTCGCCTATGGAAACCAAGCCCCGGTTAGTCGGGGGTGGACTGAGGATGCCAAGTCGGGAAAGGAAGGTTGGCCAAAGTCGTGAGAACCTCCTGCTAGCTTCATGGCCTTTCGGGCCCCGCGAGTGTGATGAACCCATCTGTGGTCAGTCCCACCTGTGCGTAGCCATGAAAACAGTCTTGACTTCCAGAAAACTGGTTTCCATCTTAAGTGCAGTGGAGTTCACTCATAAGCTAGCACTCTAAGTTATCACAATTTTTTAGGTTACTGATTATAGAAAATTAGGTTTCTAGTTACAGAAAATCTAGAAGAGCAAATAGAAGACAAAAACCTCCCATCATCTTCCGATGGACTTAGCGTATTGGTCAACAGCATGGACTCTGGGGCAGGACATCTGGAGTATGAATCCTGGCTTTGTCATTCAATTACCATGCTCTTAATTTATTCCTTCGTTTGTTTTAGATGAAAATGGGATCATGTTTAAATGGCCGCCAAGTGTTCTAGTATATGGCTGTACTTTTGTTTATTAAGTCCGGTAGTTTTCAACCTTTTTTCCCATTGAAAGACGGGATTCATAACAGTCACATACATAGTCCAATCTCTTGGGAACATCCAGGGCATTTACAGCTTACTTCACTCTGACTCGCACAAACACGTGAGTGTACACTGTGTGCCAGGCCTTCAGGATATCACGGCAAATCAATATACACTGGCCCTGTATCTTACAATGCAAGTTGGGGAAGAGCGATGTTGTCATAGGAATAATCCTAAATCTACTCCAATTCATTTTTATGTTTCATTAACGAATTGTAATTTAGTAGCGGCAATAAATTACCATGTTTATAACCTATCTTGTGATTAAAACAACAGTGGGTGAACAATACTGATTTAAAGTGGCCCCTGTTATTGAATAACTAGTTTTCTGTGTTTATTATAAACTTTCTCAAGAAATGATTTCTAGAGGAGCTTCATTAAAAAAAACCAAAAAAACAAACAGCTAATCAAACCACGTAAAGCTTCTTATGTGCTAATATGAAATAGCTCTAAAATGCATTGCTAAGCGGGGTACAGAGAGTGTGACAGCATGCTACTGTCTGGGTAGAGAGAGAAAAACAATTTGTATAAATGCACGTATATATGTGTATTAAATGTTTACGCAATTATAGGCTGGACCCTAGGAACACTAACTGGTGCAGGCGGGACACTGAGCAGCTGGAGGAGAATGGCAGGAGAGACGAGTCACTGTATCTTTTGAATTTTAAACATATCCTCTATATTCTCTATGCAAAAAAAAAAGAAAATGTTTTGAATAGCTCATCAGCCCCAGGCTGACTTCTCCATTTAAAGAAGAACTTTCACTCCCAGGAAGTAATCACAGAGACGAGTTACGCAACTGAACACGTCGGATGCCTGGAGTACCTGGCTTCCCGCGACTGCTGGTGACACTGGAAAAGCCGTTCTTTGACTCGCCGCTTGTCTTCCTCCATCATCTTCCTTTTGTCACAGCCCCGGAGGTTGACAAGGGTCATGGCATCACAGAGGAGTGCATCCTTCACTTCTCTATCTAGGCGTGAGTCAGTGGTGAAGCTTGGAGAATGGTTTACCTGCCAGGAGGAGACATTATCCACCCCCTTCCTAGACCACCAATGATGGTCTCTTGCAGACCCAACTGGAAGGTCTAGGAGAGACATCCCCCTACAGTGGCCTCAGCCAAGGAGGCTGGATGTTCTGACTTCCAAGGCCACGGAGACTTCTCCAACACTGGCTCATGAGAGCAAATCAGACCTGACCGTACAGATGTCATGTCCTTAAAGGCAAAGCTCATGTGAGGAACACTAAAGATCCGAAACCTGGATTCCTACAGTGGCGGCCAGACACCACCAAGATTTGACTCAGGTCAAAAGGGTAGTGATCTTATGCTTCTGCTGGGGTTCCTACCCACCCCAGTTCCGCCGTGTCCCCCATTCTCTGTTCCACCACCTGAGTGTACTCCTATCCCAGGTGTCCTGTTCAGGAAGGCCTCTGGACCTTGGTTTTGCAAAGCCCAGGAGATAATCCTCACCTCCAGCAGCCAGGGCTTCAGCTTGTGGTCCAGCAAGATGTCAAAACCAAGGATCTCAAAACAGGCACAAGTACCTCCACTCAGATATTGGGGAAAACAGGTTCGGTAGTTGTGACGAAGAACAGAATGGGCCGAGATGATGGTTTTGATGATGATGTCCTCGATGCCCCCCCACATCTCTCGGGGGTCGTAGCTGTGTTCTTGCAGCCAGGCATTGAGCGTCGACAGCTTCCTGTGAGGCCCAGTGCTCAGAGAAGACCAATCTCTCTGCCAGTGGCACTGGGCTGCAGGCAGGAGGCTCCCTAACACTAACCTAACTCCGTGCCTGGGTGCCTGGTGCTTTAAAGGGCTGCTGCCAGCTTGGAGCAGGGCGTAGTTACCAGGGTGGGGTGGGGACTGCACTTGGTGGTCAGGCACAGGACAAGGGTCTGTAAAGGCTGAGTTTTCCTAAGCAATCAGCCTCTCAAGAGCCAGTTTCACTTTCACGGGCTGTTGAGACTGTGGGGCTAAGGGGCAGAGAAAGAGGAGAGAACAGATTAGGGAGTACCTCTTACTGCCCATGGCATCGTCCCGGACAAAATTCTCGTTGTGTTTGTTGATAGCATAGTTGGTCAAGTGCATGCAGACATCATCCTGGGAAGACAGTGGCCCTGTGGTCTCAGACTGAGTCCATGCTGTGCCCCCTCTCCCAGGCCACTCATCTCCTGCCCCTCGTCACCTGAGGACTGTCCCGTGAGCTCCTAGGGAGGAGGGTGTGCTGTTTCTCCCCTCCCAGCCAGGGGCTGAAGCACTCACTGGCTTCATTTCTTATTCCTGGGTGACAAGCCTCTCTACCTGGTTTCTCCATAAAACCTCAGCACTCAGCAGTGGAAGAGGAGAGGGTGCCACCTGCCTCCAGAGCTGCCGTTGGCCCCTTACCAGGTTGTTGTACATGGGCTCCACATAGGGCATGGTGGCAAAACGGGCCAGGCCTTCCTCGTACATGAAGATCCGAAGAGGGTCACAGGATGTGATCAGGACATAGATTCGCATATCAAACTTGAAGCCATCAATGAGGAAGGGCTGAGAGTATGCAAACCCACCAGAGAAAAATAATCAGGCTTTGAAGTGTTTACTATGGACCCCACACTGTCCTAAGCCCTTCAAATACATAGTACCTCATTTAGTTTTCACAATAACCGTAGAAGGTAGTTAATTAACCGTAGAAGGTAGCCCATTAACAAATGAGGAAACTAAGCTGCAGAAAGAGTAAAACATTTGCCCAAGTCCAGGATAACTAAAAAGTGGAAAAACGTAGATTGAAACCCAGGCAGGTTGGCTCTAAACCAAGGTTCCATGCAGTCTCCAAGATAACGAGGGATGGCAGAAAGACCAGGAGGCTGAAACTGGCTTCCTCCCCGGCTTTGAGACGGGGGTGCCCCAGGGCTGGCCGAGGGACGTGGTGGTGGTGGCCCTGACCAGCCCTTCACCTTGGAGATGTACTGCTGGCAGATCATATGCTCTCCTGGCTTGATCTCCCGCGGGTTTCGGGTGATGAAGATGCCGCGCCCCTGACAGCCACTGTCTGGCTTGCATATATACGCACGGGTTCTCCGCTGACGGCCGTAGGACTGGAAGTCCCCATAGCTATGCGCAGAGAGGGACTGGTCAGACGGTTCCCGTGCATCATGGCTGGCCCAGGAGTCCTCGCTCTCAGACCTACTTTTCTTAGACCAGCTGAAACTCTCATTCCACTTCTACCCCCCTGGGACATTCAGGGCCCAGGAAACTGAGATGGCGGACCCTTTCCTAGCATGTCTCAGCCTGGGAGCTAGGCTCACTCACTCTGCGGGGAGACACCAAGTGCGGGGGAAGATGTTGTACTCCGTGGGATAGAGTTTCTGCATGCGGTTGAGGTTCCGAGCCAGCAGGTCTTTGCGGCAGATTTCTGTCATGCCAGGAAAGTGGTTGATTTTCTGAAACGGAGCCAATTAGTGAGACTAGACCCCAGAGTAAGCAGCAGTTCCTGGGCATGGGCACCCCGGAAAGCAATGAGGGACTAGGAAAATCAAGGTAGAAGTCAAAGTGGAGGTAAACACTACCTAGTACTCCAAGGAGAAAACAGGAAGATTCCCTACGGCTGGTGAGGAACCCCTCCTTGGCCTCTCCTCACACAGGGGTTAGAAAGTGAGGGGCAGTGGGAAGAGCTAGCCAGGACTTTGGGCCTTCTGGCCATCTAATAACATCCCGCAGACCAGCACGGACTAGTCCTATAAGAATAATTGGTGTGTGGTGGCACGAAGCAAATGAGGAAATATCTCCCGAAGGAGAAAAGGAAACTAGAAGCAGCCCACAGAATGCCTGCCATGGCACCCCGGGGGGCACGGCATTGCTTGGTGGCCTGCTGGAAACCCTGTCCCACAGTGCTAGCAGCATCTCGTCACGGTTCAGTGCTCTCACGGGCTTTCCCACTCGATGGCTGTGTGAACCTCTGAGGCCCAATGTCCTCTTTTTAACAAGAGGTATCTGCTGCTCAGTGCTGTTTTGGAGAATTTAATGAGCTAAGAATGTAAAGGCATTTAACACGGTGTCCGACACACAGGATGCCCTAAGAGCTTTTAGTTACTGTTACCCTCATCTTACAACTGCTCCCTGCATGCCCCTTCTTTGCCCCCACCCCCTGGCTCTTCTCACTGTGGCACAGGTTATAGTCTCAACTCCCTTCCTGGCCTCCCCTCAAAATAAGCCTGCAGACACTTTTTAATTATTTTATTGCTAACTCCTACAAAGACCCAATTACAAGATAACGAAAATACCAAGAAGAAGTTATATTCTTCTTGGGGACTCTGGTCCATCTTCTTTGACTTTCTAGTGGCCATGCAGGACCCCACACTGACCCTAATACATGTGGGATGCTAGGCTGAGCTGCTTGGGAGGCTGGATCATTCCGCCAGCTCTAAATCTGAATGAGTCTTCCCCTGAGGATGGGCTCACCCGCCCTGGAGGGGACCAGCTGGGCATGACTCCAGGCAAACAGCACATACTGAGCTAGGATGAGCCCAACAGACATTTCTTCTGATAACAGAAGTTCCTGAGACTCAAGGGAAGAATATTCCATTGGAGCAGAAGTCCTTGGCCATGACCTTCCTTGTTCTGCACAGGGGTATAGCCACGGGGGCTTGGGCAGAAGGGTGGGAGCAGTCATTTTGGGGCCGCAGCACCTGTAGGATCTCGGGTCAGGAGGCTGTACCTGAAACCGCTTCATGTCCATGACTCGTTCCAGTGAGACAGAATAGTCTGTCCAGTACACGTTCCACTCTTCCTCCTCCCCCACCTCCTTCAGGCCACACATTTGGGCTGCTCGACGCACTGTGGAGAGAGGGAGGTCAGTGGTCCCAGCCTGGGCACTGGCAACAAGCCTTGGGACTGTCACTGGGTCAGGTGAGGAACAGACCTGACTGGGGAGCAGGTTGTAGAGGGAGGTAGCTCTTACCTCAGCTCTGCAGTTTAGTTTCCATGTGATAACTCCAAGTTCATGAGGCTGTCAGGGCCCTTCCAAAATCTATGACAGAGAAAACTAGAACCTGTCTCCCTGCTCCTGTTATTCCCTCTCTCATTAGGACTGTTTCTGGCCGGCAGAGCTGACCCTCGGTAGGGGTCACGCTGGCCCCTCACGCTCTGGATGGCCCCTTGCACAGATGCCAGTGGGGATAAGAGGGGAGAAAGAGATAGCTGACCTCGCTGATTTTCTTTAAAAGCTGCTGAAGCTGCCTCAAAAGCTTCCTTGAAAAAACTGTTTTAACCTTGTCTCGTCTCATCTCTTATAAAATATAGGAAAGGTGGGGCAATGGTGACTTTGCAATTTTTTTTTTATTGGCTAACTGCAGAGATTCCTACCGTATCTAAGATTAAGTGGAACAGTGAGGTCTCAGCTGCCTCTGTCTCAGTACAGGTTACAGGCCAGACTAACAAGATCCAGGGGCTGGAAGCCTGACCGGGGGGACCATCCCCCAAGTAAAAGTGACAGCAATAGGTGGTCTGGGTGACGAGCCGGGTGCTTACCACTCTCATACTTGCAGTTGGTCAGGTTGATGGTCAGGGGTCTGGAATGGAGGAATGGCAGAAATCAGGCAGAATGGGAGAGGACAGACCCTTGGCTGCCAGGCACTCAGAAGAAGGGACACCCCCAAAATTCACATTTCCTCTAGAAACCACTTGAAAACCAGGATCATAGAAACATGCTGAAATTCTACACAAAGCCAGCCCAAATGTCTCTGAATTTTGTTTTTTTGTTGTACCAAAATGTGAATGACGCTCCTACATTCCCTGTCCTCTTTCCCAGGCTAAAGGAAAGACCTTAGATCTCAGCCCTCCAACTGCTGAAGGGAGGCCAGGGGTGACTTTCTGGAGCCGGGCAGGTGAAGGGGTCTAGGGAATAGTTACCTGCATTTCCGCCTTCTCTTTCTCCTCCCAACTTCTAAGTCATCTATATCAGCTGGGGTTGTGATTTTTTCCGGAATTTTTGTGGCTATAATGCATAAGGGAACGCCATTCCCAAATGCCTTACAGTCAGTCTTTGAGACTGCCTGCTGAGAAGGGTTGGAAGGAATGGGAACTTCCCCCTTATCACATTCCTCCTCAGATTCTTCTTCTTCAACATAGTCTTCCTCCGATTCACTGGTCTTACAGGTACTTGTCTCCATCCTTTAGATTCTGTAGGGACAGGGAACATTAATCAGACTTTCCTCAAGCCGGGGAAGGCCTAAGGACCTTCCTGGTGCCCTAAGGAAATGTTGCTGCTCCTTCAGACTAGAACAATCCCACCACAAAATGGACTCTTTCCAAATAGGTAATGGGGGCCGTGGGATGCCCGTGAGATGCTGGATTCACTGACAAGGTCACTCCACACTACACACTGGGGTGCGGAAAGGAGCTGAACACAGCCAGCCAAGGCCATGACCACAGCTTTTTTGTTCTTGAATGGGAAGGGGAGTGGCGGGGGGCATAAGGCCAAAGGGCCTTAGGCCGGCCCTTTCCCTGTCCCCTGACTCAGTTTCTCTATGTGTACACACTGGGGCCAGACACCTGCTGGCTCAGACCGCTTAGGCTCTGTTGGCGGAGGGAAAGCCCCCGACGGACTCTGCCCACCCTCGGTTCGGAGGAGAGCGACGGGGCTACTGGGTCCGCCCCTAAAAGTCCGGGACTGGACTCAGCTGGTCACTCATGTCTGCTCTTTGCCTGGCTCTTGCTCCTTCCCGGGCGTTGCTGGGCCTCCAGGACCGCCTCCTTGTTCCTCGGGACTGGCAGCCCCTACTGGTCGTGAGGGGGAGCCTGCTCCCCCGCGACGTTTGCTCGGAGCTGCGAGATCCGGGCGGCGGCGGCGGCGGCGG